AAAAAAAAAAAAAAAAAAAAACAATTCACAAGTGCACTTTGGTGAAAGCGTGATAGCTCGTGCTCATCTCATCTCATACACGAGCGCAAGCTGACTCATGCGGTAGGTTGGGCCAAGTTGAGTTCGATGATAGACGAATTGTTTAGTTTGACTCGATTTATATAACACTCATACTTCACGAAGGTAAATAACACTTTTAGATGAGTAATTCCTTATGCTATAGTTCAAAATTTTTTCTTCTCAATTTCATTTTCAACTACAACCTGCGAAAATATTCTAAAACTTCTCGTACATTTCCTCAGTTCGGGATTTATTTTCATCTTCTTAAATTCTATTTTTAAAAGCTAATCATTAATTTTAACGACATGTTTCGTATGATCCACAAATACTACTCACTTATTAATAACTTATTTTTTTAAAAGTAGAACTTTAGCCACAAAAAAATTAACCAAACAGAGGCAATGTCTATCTTGTGTGTGCTACGGTGTATTCTACAAGTTCAAAGTCTTCATTTTAATTTTTATGGGCTTTTTTTTTTTTTTTAATCATCCCAACATTTTTTATTGTTGTATCGCTAGATGGCTTAACCCCATGTTCTTTAGGAAAATGTGCAGGGAGTTTTTTTTTTTTTTTTTAAATCAATTTCAACCATATTTTTTAACCACACATTTTTTTTTAAATATCATTTTTCACTTAGAAAATCTCTTCTAAGCAAATGCATAATTTAAACAAAAAGAAATTTCAACTATATCTTAGTTTTCGCCAAACAAATTAATCGTCTGTTTGGACGGCATTATTCCTCCATTTGCAGAAAAATGTGTACCGTTGAATGCCCCAACGTGGCCCCTTTTGTTGATTTGCATCTCACACCTTATGCGAAATTGGAGTTCCAACGGTACAAATTAGGGTTGGACAAAACTCCCGAACCCGAACTGAACGGTTCTTCATAAGTTAAATACCCAAACGGGTATCCGAATCGAGAACCGACGGATTTGATTCGATTTTCAGTTCTAAACCCAGAACCGAAGGACTGAATTTAAATAATTCTTTAAATTTTTTATATGTAATTGATTTTTTTCTAAGCAAATTAACTAATTTAGTTATTAATATTCTAAATCTCAAGTCAAATCCATGCATAGCTAGCCCAGCCCAACCCAATTTCTAAATTCAATTTTTTGATTTAATTTTTTTGTTCTATTATTAATTTCATTCTTAACTGAAGATCTAAGCATTTTTAAGTTTTTACTCTTCTCTTTTCAATTTTACACTTTCACTTGGTAAACACTGAGTCAATGACCCCAAATCATTTGATAAATTGAAAACATACTTCTACATGCTCAAATTGAAATCGTCGACTGCCAAGTTCGACTTTCCCTCTCCAATGCCCATAAAAGCCGCGACCTCCAACCATGACCACCAATCGTTGACCATTAGAAATCTGTTAGAAAATTTAATTATGGTACGAAACCGAACCCGAATGATTCCATTTATTAAATATCCGAAAATTTTGGTCTGGTTCAATTTTCTTCATAATCGAACCAAACCGAACCATGTCCAACCTTAGTACAATTTATTATTTTCATTCTTGGAATAATGCTATTCAAACAGGGGCTAATAGTCTCAATCAGGGGCGTAGAAGCCTAGACCTGCCCCCCAAGCTCATTAAATTTTGAAGCCAAAAACAAATTATTAATTTATTAGTTTAGTAGAATTTTTTGCCCCCGGCTCTGCCCCTGGTCTCAATCACCTATACTGTATGTTATATAAATCACATTTAATCACATTTTGCTAATACTCTGAATTAGGGCGATAAATGTATGTATATAAAATAAAATGAGAGAAAAAATTTCATTATGCCAATTCTATATGCATATATGGTGAGTCTGTTCATTTAATCATGACACATTGAATCTCGAACCATTCAAAATGCAATACCTCGATATCCAATATGGTGAAAGAGAGAAACAAAGCACGTGATGTCAATGTATTGAATTTTGAGAGGCTCGATGTTTGAGATATCGTAATTTGAATGGATATTCCTAACACCTGTGCATATATTATTGTCTTACCATAACTTTTCTCAAAAAATAGATAGAGGGTTAT